GTTCAATTTAACTTTGATCACATCTTACTTATAGAGTAATGGGAAATACACAAATAGGGAAACGAAATTTCATCGACAACTCGCAATTCTATTCGTTAGAGTGTTCGTTCGCAGTTCGTTCTATTCGTACTTTTCATGTAGTTGGTAAAGTACACATTTTATAATGCACCTATCAATGTTAATCCCGAGGGAGGGGGGGTCGGGCAAGGGGTGGGGATTTGACATTTTTACAAAAAAAATGTCAAATGCCACTCCCTCGGGAGAAAATTCCTGGGCAAAATTCCCCACCCCCGGGATGAAATTGTATTACTGAAGTATTTGGTTTCTGGTGCACTCTATATGTCAGGTGATAGGGAAATTACACAAATACATTTGGCGGTATAACTTAAAAGTATAACAAACATAAGGAACGTTTCAAAATAACTTAAAATACTCATTAATAATTTATATACCTTGCGCCACACCATGGTGTAGTGTAGATCTAGTGTAGTGGACTAGAACACAGGCTAATAAAACACAGTATTCTTATATAATTATATTGTCAGTATTCTAAATTGTTCGCCCTAATTAGTATTCTTTTGTAGTCGTACTTTAAGTTGTGCGCCTTGCGTTTGATATCTGATAAAACACACTCCTACTCGTGTTTTAAATAGTACATAACGTGAACTTTTAATATACAAGTATAAATCAATATTAATATAATTATAAAATGGCTTTTAAGTGTTTATTTCTTGTCCAGAAATCTCCATATTTCTTGTAAAAACAACGCGCGAGACAGCGAGCGATAAACTAGTGCCCAGTCTTCAGTTTGTTCCTCACTCTTCCACAGCCCCTCGTTACCTTTTAGTGCGGGAGGATATACCCGTTCGCGGGTTAGGCGTTGACAGCTACAACGCGGGCGACTGGGGACGAGTCAGAGTTTGTTCTAAAATTGGCTCAGGTTTCTTCAGTTTTTCGTCTGAGATCACTGTTAATCTGTCAAAAATCCCCACCCTCGGGCCACGTAGAAAAAAAGTGTCAGTCCAAATCCCGACCCATGGGACCACCTGATTGATCAAATCCCCACCCTTTGCCCGACCCCCCTCGGGTTAACGATGATGGTGCATTACATGTAAACTTTTATCAAATCCCGTTGGAAGTACAGTTAATATTGCTAACCTTCGCTCATCCTTCAACGTTAATTTAAATTGAAAGGTTTCTCAAATACATTCAGTTTAATACTTCTTCGAAGAGATAAACAAAGTCATGGTTTTATACGCCACCTGATTGAATGCCAGCTTTAAAATTACATTGCGAAATGTCGTACGAGTTAAATATTTGCACGATATTAACTCATGGGGCACTTCTGACCAATGGGAATTTTGCGTACGGAGCGTACGCATAAATCGAATTTACTAATAAAGGTCGCAGGCCGTTCCTCGTGCAGCCTCTGCCTGACAACGGCCTGCGAGCAGGCTATGCTTTGGACTAATCACGTGCTTGCGCGTTTGGTATAGTAATTTGATACTATTTACACTCAGACGCTGTAGCTTTTTTCAAAAGTGGGAAGATTATTATTCAAATTTTCTTGTATATTAACTCAACAAGACTAAACAATTGTACTTGGACTTTGCTTCGAAGGTATGTTTGTTGTGTATTTACTATTCAGCAATTAATATCTATTATCTATACGAATACTTGCTCGACATGCAGTTCTGTGTCTGTGAAGGTTTGATCTGAGTTATTTATATCTAAATCTTGAATTCATTTTTGCAGTAGATACTGAGCGAATAGTTTGTGAGTTGTTCGCGACCAACACATTTAATAAAATGCGAAAGTAGCAAGTTTTATATTTGTTAATAGGCAAATGATGGACACCAAGACGAGCATCGATCTTCAATATGACAATTTGTATTAATTTTAATAATTTAGAATTCGATAGTTGTATGCATCTGGGACGATTTTAAGAGAAACATACTTCTACTCATTTTAGCCAGGTAGTGATCCAAGACTACCTCTCTTACTGATTACTATTTCTTAGGTTAAGAGTTCAGGATTCCTATGAGGGGAGAGTTGATGAGGGTGAAGCCACTCAAGCCAGAAGGTAAACAATTAGAATACAGCACTTGCATTAGAACTGGACTACATTTCTACTAATTACTATTTGAAATTTCACAGTGTATATGTGTATAATTTTCAGTCACCATATGGGCAATGTTATTTTTGTGTGATAATGACCAATCACAAATCGGCAAACTTGAATTTGTTCCAGAACCAATGAAGTTTGAATTATAAACTACAGTACATCATGCTAAAAAAGATATGAAACATTTTACTTTGTCCGTTGTTCAAGAAAAGCTGATAAATGTCCGACTATATTTTATCTTGGCTGGACATTTGTCCTTCCAAGCAAAATAATTATTTGCAGGTCTGGTTAACTAGACACATGGGCAGATAGGCCAGTTAACCCATTAACCAGCGCTCTCCACTTGATGAGTAAAATTGTTAGGGGTGCACCGGAACTCGGTTCCGGCCGGTTAGTTCCGGCCGGGACCCGGTTTTTTAGAGTTCCGGGTCGGGCCGGAACTAGTAAAAAAAGCATGGCCGGAACCGGAACTCTGTCGTTTTCAGGGAGATAGAATATCAAACGTTTTTGTGTCTAACAAAAGGTCACAGTAGGAAGAAAGTTGGACTACGCAAGGGAAATGTACACTATTAACACTTCATTATGACGTTTAACGTTTGTCAGTCTTTTATTCTGACATTTGCGAACTCTCTACTTGATGATTTGAAGTGTCTGCTTGTCTGGCAGCGGACAAAGTAACATATGACTATATATGGCTTAATAAATTAGTTCCGGTTCCGGCCGGAACTTTTTTCCAGTTCTGGTCGGATCCGGTTCCGGCCGGAACTTAAAAAACCGGTTCCGGTGCATCCCTAAAAATTGTTTGGCGTTAGACAGAGTAAAATAATTTGGCAAGCGTTAGACAGTAAAATAATAAAGTAGGCTGCATCAGGGTGCAATGCAACTTAATGGGTTAAAGTGTGTAATGATGATTATGTTAGATTATTGAATATCAGATGTATATCTGGGTAGTAAAAATTACTATGTGGTGCACCATTTTTGTCCAAACAATGTAACAGAATACCAGAATTGATTAGTTCATGTGTACTGATTCGACCACATGCTCACTTCGTATATAGTATCAGGCCTAAAAAATACCTGTGGTTCCGGTTCATGACCGACGCTATTTTTTTCTGCCGACCCTATTATTTTTTCAACGCGATTGACTGTGCGACCCTATTTTCTCTGGGTGGTTGCGGGCTGCTCATACAGTGTGCCAAAATGGCATCTGTTTTTACTTTTCACACTAATTATTGAACCAAATTGCCTAAATTTGTCCATAGGAAATACACATCTCTAGTTAATATTGATGTCGGAACTCACTGCAAATCGCCCAGCAAAAACCCACCAAACCCATGAAAATTGTGTTTCCGACCTACCGACCCTAATTTTTTTACGATATGAAACTGGAACCACAGGTATTTTTTTAAGCCTTACTAGCAATTACTTTCTGGATAATCAATAATTTTCTGCTGCTGTAATATCAACCTTATATTTTTTATTAGGGGTTGTTTTCATGAATTCATGTTCCCACCACCACTAAAATCACCACCTCACAGAATGGCAATATAATCACGATAGACCAGTAAATCTACTTCATCGCCTATATGGGGAACATTATTTTCTGGCGAGAACATGGCCGTTGAATACCAAAGTAAGGAAGGAAAAGAGTTACAGAGTTGTGGTATGCAACTTGAATGTTTAGTACTAAAGTTGACATTTATGACATTATGTGATTTATGTATCAGACAAATGTCCTGTCAAGTCAAATATTTATTTGCAGCCCCGCTGTATATATGTGAGTAAATAGGTTGGCTGGGGTGCCTTGGTGTTGGTAACAGACAAACAGTGAGGGAGTCTACCCCATTTTCATCTTCCCAGACCTGAGAGATAGATTGTTGAAGAGGATGCCATTCCTACCTAGAACATACCACACCGAAGTACTACTCATACACAGACAGGACAGTTGCTGTGTTGGTGTCACCCAGGATTCGAAACTGCAACCTTGTGTTTACAAGCCCAACGCTCCACAACTGAGCTAACTGGGTGAATCAGACACAAGGCAGCAGGTTTGATGTATTTATATACTGTACTATATGCAGTTATATATTATACTTATAATCATTCTCAATAGAACAGAATGTAAAAGGGTTTTTGTAGATGGTAATTTTGAACAAAAACTGTTT